GACATATTTGAAACATGGACTTGGGGGGGGGGGAACCAAGGACAACACACGTAACCTAAACATCTGTACCCCATAATATGCTGAAATAAAAAAAAAAACATTTCGATGTATTTTGAATTATAGGCCAAAACTTATAAGCTCTCATATTTGCATAAATATGATATATTGTACCTACTGTGACACATTTTCAAAGCTAAATAGGATCATAATTCTCTGGGTTTTGGTAATGAGAAAACCGAGCCTCAGAGAAATGTCCTGTTCATGTTCTCATAAAACCAAGCAAAGGGATGAAAGCCCAAAATGGGAGAGTAAAACCATCAAGAAGATGGATAAATCTCAATAACATGAGAGCCTAAAATTATGAAGACATTTCAGTCTAGAAAAACTAAGATTTTGAGCATCTATTAATTAAAAGATTTAAAATGTTTGTGGGAAATTTGCCATGGATGTCATTAATTTGCAGAAATATTAACTTAGAAGGTAAAGTTTGTATTCAGAAAGAGAATTTTGTGTTTAGAGAGGAGGGAATGAAGAAAGGAAGGAAGGAAGGAAGAAAGGAAGGAAGGCGGGTTAGAAGGGAGGGAGGGAGGAAGGAAGGAAAGAGCACTTGATTTAGGTGGAACAGTCAAAATTTACACAACTAGTGATGAAACATACTGAAAGTAGAAATATAATGAGGTGAAATTTGGATGATTTCATGATGCTCAACTCACTGAAGTTTTTAAGGGACATTTGAAGCATTTACCAAAACTTAATTTTGAGTTATAGAGGACAGTGAAACCATTGTACAAATTTTCTGGCTGCTCTGTCGAAGGGAACACTAGGCTAAGATATTTTTCTAGCCCAGAGTAGTATTTCAATAATGCTAACAATAAAAATTATATTTACTGAGAGCCTATACTGTATTATATGCCAGGCCCTGAGATAAGTATATGACATGGATTATGTCTTTAAACCTTTGGAGAACATAACGTATTATCCCTATTCACAGAAAAAAAACCTGCGGCCTGAACAAATTAAACAACTTGCCTCATGCCGCACAACAAATACTTAGTCAAGTCTTAATTCCAACAGAGATAACGTGAATCAAAAGCCTGGGCTGTTAAGTGGGCCCTCCTGCATTTGAAGAAAGACAGCCCTTGGTGTGAAGAGACAGGTAAAGACACACACACAGACACACACACACACACACACATACACAACCAACTCATTAACAAATCAGAAGATATCAGTATCAGGGGAAATGGCTGTTTATTAATAACATGGAAACAACATTATGCAAGATCATCATAATTAGTGTTCATGTAGAATGAAGACATTGTTTGTCTAAACACAGGCATTGGGTTCTGGGTAAACATCTTTTAATGAATATGTTTACATCTACCATTGCCTAGAAGAATTGAATGCCAACTCTGAATGCCCCCTGAGAAGAGAAGTTGGCAGGTAAAAGTTCATGTCTCCAGTCACTGGTTGCCTGCAATGTGTTTTTTATGTCTAGTGAAGACGTCCACAGTGTGACGAAGATTATAGGCAGAGATTCAGCAGAGATTCAGCAGCAAGAGGAGGCACAGCACAGGGGCTGGGGGCAGGTGGAGATGACGCAGGTTGGGCCATAGCAAGTGGTGTGGCAGGAGACCCGGCCACAGACTGGACGCAGGCAGCAGCAGGGGCGGCAGCAGGTGGGCTGGCAGCACTGGGGCTGGCAGCAGCTGGACACACAGCAGCTGGGGCGGCAGCAGGTGGGCTGGCAGCACACAGACTGGCAGCAGCTGGGCCTGCAACAACTAGAAATGCAGCAGCTGGGTTGGCAGCAGGTCTCTTGGCCACAGCCCTGATCGGAGCAGACAGAGCCACAACAGGAGTTGACCATGGTGTCAGAGGGTGGAGGTTCTGGGTGGGTTTCCAGGAGAATCAGGTTCTGGAGTTTAGAAGTCTTCTTGGGCCACAGCCTCTTATACATTGCCCTGTTTTTCTGTTGCCAACACATTTTCCTTGCTTTTGTTTACTCAACAGCTGAGTAACTATCCGATTACACAATAATGTTTGTCCATTTAATGGCTTAAACTTGTTGGAAAGAAAATTTTCTTGTCCAGATGTAATAAGTTCTCTCCCATCTGCCTGTCCTCCTAATTCACACCTTGATGGCATCTTCTAGACCACATTTCCTTCATCTTCCTCCACAGAGGGCTCTCATGTGACCCTCTGCATTTGGAATTACATCTGTCACTCTTTCTTCCTGCGCCCCTGCCAGGATGCGGTTGGTCAGTCACACTTCTGGTTCTGCATTCCTTCAATGACCAAGGGAAGAAAACCCATCTGCTTAGTGGGCATCTGGCCTGGGACAAGAGGAAAGGGCCTTATTCTGTGGGTCATTTTTGAGCAATGAGGAAGGAGACCTGTGTACTGTTACAATGGCTTTCCCTGGATGTTTCAAACTTTGGGTCGTGTTCTATATCCTGAAACCCTGGCAGGCAACTTACCTGTATAGCTGGGGTAACTACAGGGTCTACAGTTTCTTACGTTGCTACTTTGTTGTCTTGCGTGTTTGTATCGTGGCTCTCCATCTGGTCACTTAGATTCTGCAAGACATAGTTTCATTTGTATTCCTTATCTCCTTCTATTTTGTGAATGTCTAAAACTGTCTATTAACATAACACAGCTGTGTGTATTTACTTTATTTTATTTTTTAAATTTTGCGATAGTTGTTGATTTATGTACACTTGTACCAAACAATCTCAGGAGAACCTGTGTATACTTCATCCAGTCTCCCCACTAGTATTAATAACATCTGTATAACAATTTAAAGAATATATCTACCTGCTACTCTATCTTGTATGATGTTCTGAATTCAGTGAGGGCTCAAGTTCAGTGAAATATTTTTAAAATTTATTTAATTTTTTAGATTGATATATAATATTGTATATATTTACCATGTACAACATAATGTTTTCAAGTATATAAACATTGTGGAATGGTTAAATCTAGCCAATTAACAAATACGTTATCTCTCATAGTTAGAATTTTTGTGGTGAGAATACTTAATAGCCATTCTCTTAGCATTTTCGAGAATACAATATATCATCTATAACTATAGTCACCTGCTGTACAACAGACCTCTTGAACTTCTTCCTCCTGTGTAATCATGTATCTTTTGACCAATGTCTCCCCAAGCCCCCTCCCCTCTAGCCACCCCATCCTCTGGCAATCTTCATTCTTTGCTCAACTTCTATGATACCAGCTTTTTTAGATTCCACATAGGAGTGAGACCATGTAGTGTTTGTCTTTCTGTGCCCGGCTTAATTCACTTACATAATGTCCTTAAGTTTCATTTATGTTGTCCTAGTTTTCCTTCTTTTTTATGGCTGAGTAGCATTCCATTGTGTGTACATACTACATTTTTTTCATCTACTCATCCATTGATGAACACTTAGGTTGTTTCCTTATCTTGGCCATTGTGAATAGTGCTGCAATAAACATGGGAGTTCAGATGATCTCTTCAACATACTGATTCCATTTCCTTCAAATACATGTTGTACCCAAGAGTCAATTGCTGGACCATATGATAATTCTATTTTTAATTTTGTGAAGAATTTCCATATTGTTCTCCCTGATGGCTGTACTAGTTTACATTCCCGCCAACTATGTGCAAAAGTTCCTTTTTTTCCCACATCCTCACCAATGCTTGCTATCTTTTGTCCTTTCGACAACAGCCATTCTAATAGGAATGAGGTGATATCTCACTGTAGTTTCGATTTGCATTTCTCTGATGATTAGTGATATTGAGCATTTTTTTCATATACCATTTGGCCATTTGTATGTTGATTTAGGTCTTTCACCCACTTTTTAATTGGACTGTTCGTTTTATGCCATTGAGCTGTTTGAGTTCCTTATGTATTTTGGATATTAATCACTTATGAGATGTATGCTTTATAAATATTTCTCCCATTCTTTATGTTGTCTCTTCACTCTTGATTGTTTCCTTAGCTGTGCAGAAGCTTTTTAGTTTGATGTCATCCCATTTGTCTAATTCTCCTTTTGTTGCCTGTGTTTTCAAGATCATAATTAAAAAGTAATTGCTAAGATCCATGTCATGAAACTCTTCCCCTAGGTTTTCTTCTAGTAGTTTTGTTGTTTTGGGTCTTGCATTTAAGTCTTTAATCCCTTTTGAGGTGATTTTGTTATATGGTGGGAAAAAGGGTCCAATTTTATTCTTCTGCATGTTTTCTTAACACCATTTGTTGAAGAGACTATCCTTTCTCCATCATGCATTATTGGCCCCTTTGCTGAAAATCAATTGGCTGTAAATGTGTGAATTTATTTCTGGGTTCTCTGTTGTATTCCATTCTTCTATGTGTCTGACACAAAAGCCAGTGCCATGCTATTTTGGTTACTATAGCTTTGTTGTCTATTTAGAAGTCAGGTAGTACGATGTCTCCAGCTTTATTCTTAGTGCCCAAGATTGCTTTGGCTATTTGGGGTCTTTTGTGGTTTCATATAGATTTTATGATTTTTCTTATTTTTCTGTAAAGAATGTCATGGATATTTTGAAAGGGATTATATTAAGTCTGTAGATTACTTTGGGTAGTCAGGACATTTTAACCTTATTAATTCTTCCAATTCCTGAACACAGGGTATCTTTCCATTTATTTTTATCTTCTTCAGTTTCTTCATCAATGTTTTATAGTTTCCAGCATAGAGATCTTCCTTGGTTAAATTTGTTTCTAAGTATTTTATTTCTGTAACTATTGTAAATGGTATGGTTTTCTTGATATCTTTTTCAGATAGTTTGATATTAGTGTATAGGAACACCACTGATTTTCGTATGTTGATTTTGTATCCTGCAACTTTACTGAATTCATTTATTAGTTCTCACTGTTTCTTGGTAGTCTTCAGGGTTTTCTAGATATAAGATCATACTGTCTGCAAACAATTTATCTTTTTTTCTTTCCAATTTGGATGCCTTTTATTTGTTTCTCTTGCCTAATTGCCCTGGCTAGGACCTCCAATACAATGTTAAATACAAGTGGTGAGAGTGGGCACCCTTGTCTTGTTCCAGATATTAAAGGAAAAGCTTTCAGCTTTCCCCCATTCAGTCTCATGTTAGCTGTGGGTTTGTCATATTTGGCCCTTATTATGTTGAGATATATTCCTTCTATACCTAATTTGCTGCAAGTTTTTAATCACGAAGAGATGTTGAAATTTATCAAATGCTTTTTCTGCATCTACTGAAATGATCATATGCTTTTTGTACTTCCTTATGCTAATGTGATATATCATTTATGTATGTTGAACCACCATCCCATCTTTGCATCCCTGGAATGAATCCCACCTGATCATGGCGAATGATCTTTTTAACGTGTTGTTGAATGAGATTTGCTAGTATCCTGCTGAATATTTTTCCATTTGTATTCTTAAGGGATATTGACCTGTAATTTTCTTTTCTTACAGTGTCCTTACCTGGCTTTGGTAAAGGGTAATACTGGCATCATAAAGTGGAGTTTGGAAGTGTTCCCTCCTCTTCAATGTTTGTGGAAGGGTTTGATAAGAATTGACATTAATTAGTTAATGTAAATGTTTGGTAGTTTCACCGGGGATGCCATCTACTGTTGGGCTTTTCTCTGTTGAGAGGTTTTTTTTATTGCTGCTTCAATCTCCTAACTCATTATTGGTCTGTTCATATCTTCTATTTTTCATGATTCAGTCTTAGTAGGTTGTATGTTTCTAGGAATTCTTCCATTCCTTCTAAGTTATCCAAACACAACACACACACGCACACAGAAGTATATGTAAACTGGTAAAATCTGAAAAAGTACTGTGGATTCTACCAATGTCAATTTCTGAGGTTTGACTTGCACCTTTACAGTTATATAAGATGTGATCACTGGGGAAAGCTGGGTGAATGGTCCATTGGACTTTGTTGTACTTTTTCTTCAACTTCTTGTGAATCTATAGTTATTTTAAAAAATACAAAGGAGGCAATTTGAAGGTAAAAGGGAGTATGCTTTTATTTGTCTAACGGCATCTTTATCTCACTGAATTTTTATGACAATGTTAATAAATGGGTATTGTAATTCTTACTTTAGAGAAAAGTAATCCTTGGTTGAGAGGATTAAGTAATATGTCCAAGATCATAGTCGCTATGCACAGTGAGAGCACAGTGAGAAATCGGCACCACTTCTATCTAGTTCCAAGTCAATGAGATACTCTTTATACTGAGCTTCCTCTATTTATATTAATTTAAAGCAATTCCTGGAATGTAGTTTACTGAGTGCTTTCTTTTGGTGGCTATTGTAATCCATAGTTCTTATGTTACATGTGTTAAGTCCAAAGATGCCTCTCTTTAGACATTTTCCTATTTCTTCTGTGGGCTGAATTCAGCTTTGGGTAAAAATCTAATTGAAAAATGCCAATTTAATTTTTCAATTGTACGGTCTCCTGAAAACATGTACTCCAGTGTTGTGCAGAAAAAGAGACAGAAATATGCATAGACCTTTTCATTAATAAGAAATAATGAGAGATGAGCAATTTGGGTGCCTTTGAATGCTAAAAAGTTTTATTGGGGAACATCAAGCAATTCCACATGGAAATGGATTCGACAGAAAAACATTAGAAAGAAAAAATCTAGAAGTGGAACATTTAAAGACTTCTGCATTTTGAACCAGAATTAGGAATTCTAAAACAATATGATGCAGCATCTGACTATAAATTCTGATTCATTAATAATAAAAAGTATCTACAGAAAAGAATAATTACAATATAGAGATTGGGGTTTTCCAAATCAGGCCATGTTCTGTTGGCAAGTCCACATAATCTGGGAATAGATGCTGTCTTCCTGGACCGAGGAAGGGGCAAGAAGATTCATGGATTCAGAGCAGGACACTCAGCAAGAACTGCCACAGCAGCTGGGGCGGCAGCAGGTTGTTCTATAGCAGGTGGTCTGGCAGCAGGTGGGGTGGCAGCAACTGGAGATACAGCAAGAAGGCCTGCAGCAACTAGAAATGCAGCGGCTGGGGAGGCAGCAGGTGGGGCGGCAGCAGGTGGGCTGGCAGCACACAGACTGGCAGCACTGGGGCCTGCAGCAGCTGGACACACAGCAGCTCGGGCGGCAGCAGGTGGGCTGGCAGCACACAGACTGGCAGCACTGGGGCCTGCAGCAGCTGGACACACAGCAGCTGGGGCGGCAGCAGGTGGTCCTGTAGCAGGTGGTCTGGCAGCAACTGGGGCGGCAGCAGGTGGGCTGGCAGCATACGGACTGGCAGCAGCTGGGCCTGCAACAACTAGAAATGCAGCAGCTGGGTTGGCAGCAGGTCTCTTGGCCACAGCCCGGATCAAAGCAGACAGAGCCACAACAGGAGTTGACCATGGTGTCAGAGGGTGGAGGTTCTGGGTATGTTTCCAGGAGAATCAGGTTCTGAAGTTTGGAAGTCTCCTTGGGCCACAGCCTCTTATACACTGCTCCATTTTCCTGTTGCCAACACATTTTCCTTGTTTTTGTTTACTCAACAGCTAAGTAATTATCCAATTACACAATAATGTTTGTCCATTTAATGGCTTAAACTTGTTGGAAAGAAAATTTTCTTGTCCAGATGTAATAAGTTCTCTCCCATCTGCCTGTCCTCCTGATTCACACCTCGATGGCATCTTCTAGACCACATTTCCTTCATCTTCCTCCGCAGAAGGCTCTCAAGTAACCCTCTGCATTTGGAATTACATCTGTCACTCTTCCTTCCTGTGCCCCCTGCCAGGATGCGGTTGGTCAGTCACACTTCTGGTTCTGTATTTCTTCAATGACCAAGGGGGGAAAACCCATCTGCTTAGTGGGCATCTGGCCTGGGACAAGAGGAAAGGGCCTTATTCTGTGGGTCATTTTTGAGCAATGAGGAAGGAGTCAGCTCTTTGTGTGTGTGATTGTGGTGACCTGTGTGGCTTTCCCTGGATGTTTCAAACTTTGGGTCGTGTTCTATATCCTGAAACCCTGGCAGGCAACTTACCTGTATAGTTGGGGTAACTACAGAATCCACAGTTTCTTACGTTGCTACTTTGCTGTCTTGCATGTTTGTATCATGTCTCTGCAGCTGGTTACTTAGTTTCTGGGTGACATAGCCACATTTGCCATCTTTATTACAGTTTTAGTTAAAAATATTTCATCAATAGAGCAAAAAATGTTGAATAATAAGAATTTTCCTCTCTACTTCTTCCTTACCATGTCCTTTAAAAAAAAGTAGAATTTGCTTTTCATCAGAACCTACTTCCAGAGCTGAGATATCTATGGCATTTGAAACGTCAGTGGATCTTAGTAAATTCTACCTTCCTGAATTATGGTTTCTACTTTTCCTCTTATCCTCTGTGTGGTGGTCTAACTTAAGTGTGCATCATAATCACCTGCAGGGCTTGTTAAAACCCAGATCGCTGCATCTACTCCCAGAATTTCTGATTGCTGGGTAGAACCGCAGTTGTAACTAGAGCCCAGATGATGTTGACGCTAAAGGTTCAATGACCCCACTTAGAGACCTCCTGCTTCATTCTGTTAACTCAAGCTTTGCAGAAGCATCTACATGAAGGTCCTGCCTTGTTTGTGAAACAGAGTTGTTGAGCGGATACTGTGAGAGACACAGGTTGCCATCCATTGGGATTACAAATATGGTTTAGAGTCTCCTGTGGGGAGTCAGTTTACTGGGAGGACCACACACATGTAGCTACCGCATGCACATAATTGTAATACAGCATGGTAAAGTGACATCAAGGAGCTCATACTATGTCATGTAATAGAACTAAAAGGATTTTACTTGGAGCAAATTAGCTAACATGACACGTTGGTGGATTTATTAATAAAATTTTAATCAGTTTTTGTTTACTTTTTATGATATAGTAAAACTTACTTTGAATTGCGCAAATCCTAAGTGCACTATCTGATGACTTTTGATAAGTGGATACCTCCGTGTAACCCCCACACCCATCAAGATAAAGAACATTTTCATTAAACCAGAAAGTTCGCAAATGTCACTTCTGTGAAGTCTCCACCACCATAAAGAAGGCACTGTCCCAATATTTCTTCACCATAGATTTGTTTTGATGTAGAACTTCAAATAAATGACATAAAATGTAATTTTTTTTTTCTGTTGGCATCTTTAGCTTGGCCTGTCTGTGAGAGTCACTCTTGTTGGTGCATGTATCTAGTCCACTCGGAGATACACTAACAAATGCCAAGGCTTCATTTCGACTATTACCAACCAATGTCATGACAGGGTGACCAACTGTCCCTGTTTACCCAGGACTGAGGGAATACACAGAACTCAGGACTTTCATAGCTAGAATCAGGGAAGTCCCAGACAAACAGACTAGTTGGTCACGTTATGATGGCATCCTTAAAGGTCTGAATTAAAGCCGTTTAAAGACCAAGCCCCCTTTTTAATATTTTAATCACATTAGCATGCTTAATAAACATTTGATTTACATGTTTTTATTTTATAGACATTCGTTTTCAGAGACTGGAGAAGATAAAAGATTTAAAGTATTCTTTTGTGAGTGGATGTGGTGCCCTGAGAGGCGAGATTTTCACTTGATATGCTGTGTAGGAGAGGCTAAGGAGAAAATAAACACATAAAAGAAAAAGATTTTGATTACGAGGGGAGAGGTTTCTACATAAATTTATGGAGATTAAGAGAACCCTATTGCTGCAGCTACAAAGGCAGGGTACATTCTCTTGTAGAGAAATGTATAGAGCATTATAGCCCTAAAGAAGGGGTTCTCAAAATGGGCTACATGTCGAAATCACCTGGGAAGTGTTAGAAACTACGGATGCCTGGCTCTTGCCCTGAAAAAATTCTGACTTCACTGGTCTGGGGTATGGCTTGGGCATTGGAATTTTTTAAAGCTCTTCAGGTAATTCTAATGGGCAGCCAAGCTTGAGACCAACCTCCTTAAGCCGTCTGTATTATGTTCATTTGTTTAATATTAAATTGGGAAAAGAAGTAGCTAAAATGATTAGAATACAATTGGTAGTATCTATATAATATAGAAAATGATCCTGGATTTGAAACATTGAACTTTGAGCATTGCAGAATGAAACACTGATAATTCTCTTTACAATTTGAGACCGCTCTAATCGCACAGCCAACAGTTCCACATGGATGAGAATGGAACGTTAGGGCAGGAACCACATGGTAAATTACTGCAGAGAGCACACTGGGTTTCTTAAAAAACAAAACTCAAAAGCACAAGAGGCATCACTATGTGTACTTCTTGCTAAATTTTACCCATAGTCTGGTGAAGTAGAATTGATAATTAACAGGAGGACCATACACACAAATTGTATAAGGTCTACCGATACTGTACCTCTTTTATTACAAAGTAGTGGAGCGTTTTTTCTTTTATGTACTTTTTTCTTTTTAAGCTAATTTTTTTTTTTAGAATTCAATGATATAAGACCTCAGTCAGGTAAACATCAAGGAAATTTGTATGAAGTGAACCCAATTAATATTTTCAATCACCATCAAGGTAACCTGGACTCATCATATTAATATACCCTTTAAAGAATGGCATGAGAAAAAGTTTTTCTTGTCAAGTATCAAACATATTATGTTAGTACTCAATCATTTTAAAAATAAATATCTAGTATGCATTTTGTCTGGAGCTAAAAATGAACTACCATTAGGTGAATTATAGTGACATAGTTAATATATCATGATCTAAATATAGATGCCCTGAATAGGCATGTCTAAGTGATGGGGAAATTAACATATTTCCAATTCAATTAAGTTCCTATTTATAATAAAAATCAAACTCTATTATAGTATTTAAGATTAGATTGAGTGTGATGGCTCACACCTGTATTCCCAGCACTTTGGGTTGCCAAAACGGGAAGATCGCTTGAGGCCAGGAATTTGAAACCAGCCTGGGAAACATAGCGAGACTCCATCTCTGCAAAAAATTAGCTGGTGTGGTGGTGCATGCCTATAATCTCACTTACTTGTGAGGCTAAGGTAGGAGGCTCTCTGGGTTTGATGAAGCCAGTTGCTATGACAAAAAGATCCACGTGGCAAAAAATTGAGGACAGCCTCCAATTTGACAGCCAACACGGAACTGAGGCTCTAACTCGAATGGACCTTGAGGAGCTGAATTCTGTCGACAACCACATAAGTGGACTTGAAAGCAGATCCTTCCTGGTGGACACATTAGATGAGACTCCAGTGACAGCTAACACCTTAATTGCAGGCTTGTGAAGAACTATGAAGTAGAGAATGAAGCTAAGGCTTGTCTGAATTCCTGATCCGCAGAAACTGTGACATAATAAATGTGTGTTGCTTTAAGCTGCTAAACTATGAGGTAATATAATGTAACAGTAGATAACTAGTGTAGATTTATCTGGTGCTACACAACTTGAAGTTGAGGAGGAAGAGAAGTGGAAATACAGGAGTAGATCTGGTCTTAAGGCCAGGAAACCCAAATGGATGACTATGTCCCCTGGGGGCCCTAGGAGACACTCTGTTTACTAAGGTAGCAGGGAACGAGCAGATAAGGGGACCCTAGCATCACTGAGAAATCCAGCAGTGACTACTTTATAAAGTCGATGTTTTGGGTAAGGAATATTTTTACATAACCAAGTTCCCCAGGAGTAGTGGGGATGAAAAGATCCTAGAATAGCAAGGTCTGGAGGCAGCATTTAACTGTAAGAATTATGTGACATACAGCAAGTTCAGAATGGCACACGAGGCAGAGTGGGCTCTATGGATGTGGATAACAGAACATGGTGCTCCTCGGAATAGGATAAAGGCAGCCAGTAAGGATATAGCCGTAACTGTAGGCTCTGTGGCTCTGCATCTGTGTCTATGCCTGCATCTGTATCTACCGCTGACCCTCAAACAACGTGGGTTTCAACTGCATGGGTCCATGTATACGGATTTTCTTCTGCTTCTGCCTCTCCTGAAACAAAAAGACCAAACCCTCTTCTTCCTCCTCCACCTCAGCCTGCTCAATGTGAAGACGAACACGATGAAGACCTTTATGATGATCCACTTCCACTTAATGACTAGTAAATATATTTTCTCTTCCTTGTGATGTTCTTAATAACATTTTCTTTTCTCCAGTTTGCTTTATTGTAAGAATACAGTATATAGTACATATTACATGAAAATATGTGTTCATTGTTTATGTTGTCAGTAAGGATTCTGGTCAACAGCAGGCTATCAGTATTTAAGTTTGGGGGAAGTCAAAAGTTATACTTGAATTTTTGACTGCAGGGTATTGGCGCCACTAACACTCCTGTTGTTCAAGGGTCAATTGTATATCTACATCTCCACCTGTGTATATGTATATGTATATGTCTAAGTATATTTAAAGAGCTTAAGATTAAATGAGCAAAAGGCTGAAATAAGTTGCTCCATTGGGAAGCCATAATCCCTCGCCCAGTTTCCAGACTTGAGGAAATTATCATATCTAGAACCCACCAAGTGAAGGAGAGGCCAGTTCTCCAGGAGAAAGGACCACAGCAAGTATACGTAGTAGTGGCCTCACTGGTACATTTTTACTCAGAGGAAAGTGGAAAGTGTATATATTTGGATGCTGTTGGATACCAGATCTGAGTTGACACTGACAGTCGGATACCCAAAATGTGAAAGTGACCCCCCATTTGAATATGGCAATAATGGTCCAAGAATAAATGAAGTCTTGGCCCAGGTCAGTCTCATTGTGCGTTCACAGGGCCACCAACCCACCTGGAAGTCTACATAGTTCCCAAATGCAGAATTCACCAGTATCATTCCTTGACCAGTGAAATGAGGGCTATTACAGTAGAATAGGCCCAGTGGGAGCCCCGGACACTGCCTGCCACCCTTACATTCTCCAGGCAAGTTAGTGAATAAAAATTGGAGATCACAACCATGTTCAAAGATTTAAAAAATACAGGGGAAGACTGTACTTGCAGGGATCATTTCTATAATTCTTTACTAGAGAACTTCCTCTGAGAGAGAAGGAAAGCACCACTTACCCTCAAATCATGGTGGTTTACTCTGGAATTTTGTAGTCTTAATATCATCATGCTATCTGAGAAACATCTTGAATCTATTTTGCTTGCATCTTTTGTTACACATAAGGCATTTTGTGTTCCTTGCAACTGTTTTAATTATGAGAACCATGTGCCATTTACAAGTTTAAATTGTTCTTACAAAACATTTTCACTATTGGTATAAAAACAGTGATTTTAACAGCTTAGCCTCTAGAGAGTTACTGAACATTGTTGCCTTGAGAAAGTAATAGAACTGCAAGTTAAAATCATTGGTTACTTCAATTGAATGAGGGAAACAGCTGCTATAAAGCTTTATGAATATATCTCCATTTTGAAAAAAATGCAGGGGAGGGGAATACCATCTTCATCTAATTAACTAGTTCAGACCCCACAAAACCCAGAGAGATCATGGCAGATGACAGTGCATGCATGCAAACCCTAGCAAATAAATTGTGGTTGATGTGGTGGATACAGAATCTTTGCTGGAGCAGATGAACACAGGCTCTGGTACAGGGTATGTAACAACGGAACTGGCAAATGCATCCTTTTCAATACCCATCAGGAAGGATGACCAGAGATGGATCCAGTTCACTTGAAACAGACAGCAGTGCAAATTCACTCTGCTGGTACAGGGCTACGTCACTTCTCCTGTCTTTGTCACGATATACTCTAAAGGGATGAAGACCTTTGGAACATGCTACAGAATATCGTGTTGATCCACAATATGGACGTTATCATTTAATCAGATCTAATAAACAAGAAAGATAAATTGTTATGGATTCCTCAGTAAGATTCATGTGCTCCAGAAGATGAGAGATAAATGTGACAAAGGATTTCCGAAGCTGCCACTTGGTAATATTTTCATAAAGTGTTCAGTCTAGAGAACTCCAGGACATCTCCTGCTGATTATCTGACCTGCTGGCAAGAGAGCATCATTGAGCCCCTGATAAGGTGCCATCTGTGAGGAGAGCAGCCAGTGACTTGCTCCTGATGGGGAATGACATGCAGTCTGGGTGTGGTTTGCATTTTCTATTTGCTCTGCCTCAGCCAGCACCATTATACAAGGGCCCAAGAGCACTTGATGTAGCAGCACAGAATCTGCCATAACTTCCTCTTTGACCAAAGGACCCATATACAGCAAAGGATGGGTGGCAGTGGGCAATGACTGTGGGATTGACTGATCCTACTTTATACTGTACCATCCAGAAACAGCTGAACAGGTAGTGTCATGCAACCACCTTTTGAAGCCATAGCTGAGGTGCCAGCATGGACATGACACCCTGTGAGCATGGAGCACTAGTCTCCAGGATGCAGTACACACCGTAAACCAAGGACCCCATGTGGCGCTGTGTCCCCAGCAGCTAAATTACATTAACACAGAAAACCAGGGGGTGGAAAGAGGAGCTGCCCCACATACCATCACTCCCAGCAACCACTTGGGGGAATTTGTGCTTCCCTCCCATACAAAGTTAGGTTCTGTGGATCTAGAGGTCCTGGCTCCAAGAGGGGAAGAGATACCTCCAGGAGACATAGTAAGGGTCTGACTGGAATTAAAGCTATGGCTGTCACCTTATCACTTTGGGCTTCTAGTGCCAGAGGATCAGCATGTAAAGAAAGGAGTTGGTCACAGTGGCACTTGACTGTGTCCTCATGGGGAAGGAGGACTGCACAATGGGGGCAGGGAGGGACGTATTTAGCACGTAGGTGATCCACTAAATTCTCACTGCATTTCCAAGTTCAGTTCTCTCTGCAAATGAGCACGTACAAGGGCTATAGCCTCATAAGAACATAGTAACCAGGGCTCGGAACCCTCAGGATGAGGACCTAGGTTAGTTACTCCACCAGGCACATCACCTGCACCAGTCCAAGTGCTGCCCACTAACCCTCCTCTTGTAGGTTCCTCTAGAAATTGTGACCAGTTGGAGTGAGATTAACGAGAGAAATAAGTGGAGCCAAGCAGTGTCGGGTGGACTGTATGATGCCCCATCCAGGTCCCTTTCACCAGGAAGGTGCCCCCCCCACACTAGTGTGAGTACCGACTGCCAGTGGCTCACACCATTCACCTGCACTGCACTCCGGGTAGGTGTCCTCAGCTCATAGGAGCCACCATGTCTGGAGGTTTCTGTCCTCTCTGCACCCTATTCTATTCCCACAGGGTGGCCCACAGCTACTGATAACTGATGCTGGAGTACAAAGGTCCAACCACCTTGCCTCTTGGAGCGGCAATTCCAGAATACCATTCACACACTAGAGCTTCCTGTGGAGTCAGAATAGAACTCAAACTACATTTTGGCTCAGCTTCTTCTACTACTATATCCTGTCCCCCACAGTTCCCTACAGATTTATCCTGAGATCATTTTCTTATAAATCTCATGTGCAAGAATCCCTGTTTTACGATCTGATTTTTGTGAATCCAACTTAGCACACATAGCTTAGGGTGCAACCTTTCTAATCACAACCTTCACTAGGATGAGAGTTACTAGGTGATTTTACCCTGTCCCTCAGGTATGATGCTGTGAAAGAAAAAAAAGTGAAGACAATTAGTCTAAAACAATCCTGTGCAAATTTGAAAGGAAGAAATAGCTAAATGTTCAGGAGATAGACCAGTTGAGATGACAGTAAACTCACGAATTGACCATAACACTCTGGTGAGCATTCTTACTGTACAAAATGTTTTGAATGGCACCGAAACTGAGATTAGGAGCGCTGGTGTCTTAGATTGGGTTTCCTTGGGAGCAGACCCAGAAAAGGAATTTGAGCTCAAGTGGATACATTTGGGAGATCAATACAAGAAGTGCTACAAGGAACTTAGAAAACCTATCAGGGAAGAAAAGAAAGTCAATATATGGTGAGTTAATGAGCAGAATAGTCCTGTAGGCAGCTGGAGGTCACTCCCTCTGAGGACCTCTGGAAGGCAGGTACAACATAGCCCCCACTAGATGAGAAATAAACTAGGCTGCTAGGGCATTTATCCAACAACTCCCATTCACTGGGCGAGTGCTGTTCCTAGAGGCTTAAACTCTCCAGCCCAGAGCTTGCTCTATTATCCAGATAAAGTCCTCAGGCACAGAGCTCCAGGTGCTTGCTCTAAGAAACCATCTTCCTATATTAGAATGAAGAGTGCTGGGGCAATGGAGGTGGAGCCCCTGAAATCATCTGCTATGCTCTTCTCCCTCTGCAGAGAAGAACAGGGAAATGGACAAGTGAATGACATTCAAGAAGGAAAGATAATGAGACATGATGCCCGTACATTTGTATGCTCAGAAAATTCAGATTTATTTAAGACATAGGAATATCTCCATATGAGAAATTACAGCAGAAAGCAAATATTTGAATTGGGGTGACATGGTAGTTGGCAGATTTCAGAAAAAATTCAAACTTGTGTTCATTTGGTAGAGTAATAGTAACAGGATTGGTGGGGGGAAGTATATTTGGAGGCCAAATTGAATCTAAAAATTAGTTGGAACTGAACTTTTGCAATTGGCCTCACATGACTTATCTCACGGATGCACTACATCAAGAGTGTTGGTTGATGAGGAATAGGTCAGTGCAGGTCAGAGCGCTCAGCAGCAAGAACCACTAGAGCAGGTTGGGCAGCAGCAGGTGGTCTAGCAGCAGCTGGGGCGGCAGCAGGTGGTTCTGCAGCAGGTGGTCTGGCAGCAGGTTGGGCGGCAACAACTGGGGATACAGCAAGAAGGCCTGTAGCAACTAGAAATGCAGCAGGTGGGGCGGCAACAGCTGGAGATGCAGCAGGTGGGGCGGCAGCAACTGGAGATACAACAGCTAGGGCGGCAGCAGGTGGGCTGGCAGCACACAGACTGGCAGCACTGGGGCCTACAGCAGCTAGATACACAGCAGCTGGGGCGGCAGCAGGTGGTCTGGCAGCAGCTGGGGTGGCAACAGGTGGGCTGGCAGCACACAGACTGGCAGCACTGGGGCCTACAGCAGCTGGACACACAGCAGCTGGGGCGGCAGCAGGTGGTCCTGCAGCAGGTGGTCTGGCAGCAGCTGGGTTGGCAGCAGGTTTCCTGGCCACAGCCCTGGTCAGAGCAGACGGAGCCACAAGAGTTAACCATGGTGTCAGAGGGTGGAGGTTCCAGGTAGGATTCCAAGAAGGTAGGTTTGGAAGGTTTGAAAGTCTCCTTACCCCAGGTTGCCTTTTATACCCTGCTAAGGGGCTGCTGTCATTAGATGCAGCACTCTTTCCTTGTTATTGTTTTTCCTGATAAACAGACAATTATCGAATTAGGTAAGTTTGTTTTCCTGGTTAAGTTTTCAACATGGATGGAAAACATTTCCTTTCCTGATGTGTGAGGTTTCCTCTAATCAGCTCTTCCTGAATCACCTCTTGTGTCCTTCTTGCTTTAGCTTCCTCAAAGACAGCCACACATGACATTCTGCTGCTAGGTGCTATGTGCTTCAGTCTCATGCTGCTGGTACCTCATGTCAGCCCTTGGGTGATGATGCTTCTGATAGGCCCATAATTCTTTCTGGTGACTCAGGAGGATAAAGCTGTGTTGTATTCTGATGGCTCTTTCATTATGGGTTAAGGGGCAGTGAGGATTTGATTGTGAAACAGGTGACCACTGGAATGAGACCAAGAAGACTCTTAGGATGTATCTCCTTCTCTACTTTCTCCACTGTGCATCATGACCCATTTTCTAGACTTTTTAATGGGAAAAACAGGACTGTTTAAAGGTAGACAGCTAACTCATGGAATTTTCATTTTTCTTTTTCTCCATAGTCAAACTTCCAGCACTCAGTTTTAGGGCCTCTTGGGGATGTCGGCTGCAGGGATCAGGTGTGCTAAAAGGTTAAGGTCCCTCAATTCCCTGCTCTGTGGGGCCGATTTTCCTTCAGAACTTTGCCTTTTTGTCTTTCTGGCTTTAACAGGGCACACTGACTCATCCTCTGTGTTTCCAAGATTTACTTGCCAACCTAAGGTAGATGACCCAGTGTCCTTGAATATACATTTCCCTGAAACAGGAGCTTAAGGAAACCCATGAAAGGAGTTAGTAACATTCTGTGTTTGTGCCGTATTCCCCAAGTATGCATCACTTTCCACTTTAGGATAGTCTTGGGGTAGCAGTTTCTGTGTAGATTCTTTAGCTATCTGACAGCTGTGAACATGTCGACTTTGTTGAGAGTCTTTCCATAAAATATGTTCATCAAAATATTTGGGGCCATGAAGTTAGTGAAGGGTGAATATCCTGAGTAGCAGAATCACGGTTCCACATGCTTTAGACATGCTTGCACAGGTGACCAAATCTAATAGGATGAAATAGTGGAGCCAATATTAGAGCTATAGGAGTGGTTATTAATACAGCATGGCACATGAGACTGAACAGGAGCGTATATACCTAAATTTCTTGGGAGAATTTATATGAACTACCCATATACCCTAAGGTTGTATCCACTCTAAGCATTCCTTCACCAGGTATAATGTTGCAGGTTGAGTATCCCTTATCTGAAAATCCAAAATCCCAAACTTTTTGACTACTGACATGATACCCAAAGGAAATGTTCAATGGAGCATTTTGAATTTGGGGTTTTTGGATGAGGATTACTCAACCAGTATAATGTAAATATTCCAAAATCTGAAAAAATTCAAAATTTGAAACACTTCTGGTGCCAAGCACTTCAGATAAGGCTTTCTCAACCTGTGTCACCACAATGAGCCTGTTTTTCTGGACATCTGGAAGAAGGACAGGTTGAGAACTGCTGGTCTACAAACAACCCATGTATGTCTATAAGGAGAGATTGAAGCAGTTTGTAATGAAGAAGACTTAGGTGTGTCACACTCTAGTAACCTCAGTATTAGTCCACACTTACTGCCCTTACTCCTGAGTTAAGCTCTGCATGCAAACCCTGATGCATTAGTCAAAGTGTGTGGTATTTACTAAGGAACAGGAGGCAGTTCTACTCCCTTCTGAATGTTGGATTTGGAAATGGAATGTTGCATTTGGAAAATGCAGTTTGTGTCAGGCTACATAAGGCTGCCCACTATCTCCACTTCTATTCAACATAGTGCTCGAAATCCTCGCCACAGCAATTAGGCAAGAGAGGGATATTAAGGGTGTCCAAATGGGGACAGACGAGATCAAACTCTCGCTCTTTGCCGATGATATGATATTATATCTAGAAAACCCTAAAGACTCATCTAAGAGACTCCTAGAACTGATAAACGAATTCAGCAAAGTCTCAGGCTACAAAATCAACACACACAAATCTGAGGCATTCATATATGCCAACAACAGTCAAGCCGAAGATCAAATCAAAAAGGCAATTCCTTTTACAATAGCCTCAAAGAAAATTAAATATCTAGGAATATATTTAACGAAAGATGTAAGAGACTTATACAGGGAGAACTACGAAACACTGAAAAAAGAAATTGTAGAAGATGTAAACAGATGGAAAAACCTACCTTGCTCATGGATTGGTAGAATCAATATCGTTAAAATGTCCATACTACCTAAAGTGATCTACAGAATTAATGCAATCCCTATCAAAATCCCATTATCATTCTTCACAGATCTGGAAAAAATAATTCTATGCTTTGTATGGAACCAGAAAAGACCTCGTATAGCCAAAGCAATCTTAAGTAAAAAGAACAAACTGGGAGGTATCAGTTTACCTGACTTTAAGCTGTACTACCAGGCTGTAGTGATTAAAACAGCTTGGTACTGGCACAAAAATAGAGACATTGACCTCTGGAACAGGACTGAGAATCCAGAGATGATACCATCTGCATATGGTAATCTAATCTTTGACAAAGCTGACAAAAACATACACTGGGGAAAAGAATCTCTTTTCAATAAGTGGTGCTGGGAAAACTGGATAGCTACATGCAGAAGACTGAAACTAGACCCTTACCTCTCACCTCTCACAAAAATCAATTCAAGGTGGATAACAGACTTAAACCTAAGGCACGAAACCTTAAGAATTCTAAATGAAGATGTTGGGAAGACCCTTTCAGACATCGGCCTAGGTAAGGAATTCTTGAAGAAGACCCCCAAAGCAATCGCCGCAGCAACAAAAATAAATAAGTGGGATCTAATCAAATTAAAAAGCTTCTTCACTGCCAAGGAAACTATCATTAGAGTGAATAGACAGCCCACAGAATGGGAAAAAATATTTGCTCTCTACACATCTGATAAAGGGCTGATAACCAGAATCTATCTAGAACTCAAAAAAATCAACAAGAAAAAATCAAACAACCCCATCAACAAATGGGCAAGGGAAATGAACAGAAACTTTTCAAAAGAAGACAGAATAATGGCCAGCAAACATATAAAAAAATGCTCAACATCTCTAATCATTAGAGAAATGCAAATCAAAACCACAATGAGGTATCACCTAACCCCAGTGAGATTGGCCTCTATCAAAAAAACACAAAACAACAAATGTTGGCGAGGATGTGGAGAGACAGGAACACTTCTACACTGCTGGTGGGACTGTAAGTTAGTGCAGCCTCTGTGGAAAAGAATTTGGAGATACCTCAGAGAGCTAAAAATAGAAATACCATTCGATCCAGCAATAGCACTATTAGGCATCTACCCAAAAGAGCACAAAACATTCTACGATAAGGACATCTGCACCCGAATGTTTATGGCAGCACAATTCACTATTGCAAGAATGTGGAAACAACCCAAGTGCCCGTCAATCCATGAATGGATTATCAAAATTTGGTATATGTTCACAATGGAATATTACTCAATCATAAGAAATGACAGTGATCTAGTACCTCTTACACTTTCCTGGATTAAACTTAAGCCCATTATCCAAAGTGGAGCACCACAAGAGCAGCAGAACGGGACCCATTTGTACTCACCATCAAATTGGTATTAACTAATCAACACATAAATGCACATATCAGAACAACATCTATTGGATGCTGGGGAAGGGGGAGGGTGGTGGGTGGATGGGGGAAGAGGGAGGAGGGGAGGGGTATGTGTATACACAAGGAGGGCAATGCGCACTATCCGAAGGATGGACATATTTAAAACACGGACTTCGGTGGGGGGGGAACCAAGGACAACACACCTAACCTAATCATCTGTATCACGGGAAGGGCGGCGGGAGGAGGGGGGAGGAGAGAGGAGGGGACGGGTATTTGTATACACAAGGAGTGCAATGCGCACTACCCGAAGGATGGACATATTTGAAACACGGACTTCGGTGGGGGGGGAACCAAGGGCAACACATGTAACCTAAATGTATGTACACCCATAATTTGCTGAAAAAAAAAAAAAAAAAAAAAAAAGAACAATACAGATAAATTGGGTTTTATGAAAAACAAAGTGGCTATGATGGCTACATCATGATCAAGGAGGAATGAGTAGAAAAGCTTTGGGAATTTAGCCTAAAAAGGAGAAAACAGAAGCAAAGCAATGGCAGTGCAGCCTGAAGTGGCTCAGGGTGGGCAATCAGACTTGCCCTGATGCTGCAATGGGCTGACACAGGATACGTGGGCAGCTCACAGAGAGAAGCAAATCTGTCTCACTATGGGGAAGGTATTTTATGGAATGGATCCCCTTCTGAGATGATCTGGGAGGGGTTTAAGTGTGAGCTGGTGTTGCTGAGGCACATTCAAGAAGCCGGTGAAGGGGACTGGGTGAAATGACTTTGAGACTCCCCTTTCTGCCCTCAAGCACTTGTAAGACTAATACATTGAATTATGGTGCTCTCATCATGCTCTTTGGTGCCTAGCCAGTTTCTACTCCTTCCCTGGCCCAGTTTCCAGGTTTCTACACTCAGGACGACAACAACCTGGGCTCTGGACTGGGCTGCTGCTTGGAGCTTTGGCTGGTGTTCTGAGCCTGCCTTGTATGCTGACTCTGATGTACTTAGATGAAGCATTTTGTTCAGTTCCCGAGTCTTTCCCTTAGTCAAAGGGAACGAAAGCAGCTTCCAAGCTGTTGTGGGGTAAAGACCCTGGTGAAACCCATTACGGTGCATGAGAACAACTCTCAGATTTCTAGAAGACCTTGTATTCTGGGAAAAGAATGATGTCCGTGAGGACCCTGATGACTG